AAGGAAAAGTGAGTTGCGTATGAACTTATGCAAAGAGTTCTTCCTTCTGTAGTACAAAATTTATTTTAAGTAAGAATTTCAGAGCTGCTATTCAGCCCTCACGAATTCATCTGGATAGTCTATGTTTCATTGCTGTAAGCCATAAAGCCCCGCTCGTACGGCGCTTCCACTCTCCGTGGAAGACGAGAGTTCGTTCATTTGTGCGGTGGGTTCTGGGGTCTCTTCAGCAAAACCGAGACTGCCTGAGAAGATTTCACAGAGAAATATAATTAGGAAAAAATGTGACTAGATTCCTCTGCCAAATGCCTTCCCTAAATTGACTGGGAAGGGCTCAAAACAAAAATGTACTTAAAACCATTTTCCTTTATGGCTCATCTTTAAGTGTTTTGCCTGAAGTAATGAATCACTGGGTGAATCAGACTGGGATTTTATGATTTCTTATTTGCCTGCCTTTGATCAGCTGAGTAGCCTGTTGAGACTTAATTTGGGACTGCCTTCCCTCTCTTTCTGGCGGCATGGAAGGGCAGTGTGGAGAGCGATGGGGCAGAGCAGGAACATTTTCCTGTTGCAGCGCAAGGTCACGCAGTACCGAGCGAAAGGTTGAGAATCCACATTTGTGCTCATCCCTTCTTTTTTATTGCATCCTTTTCCGAGCAAGCTTCCTCTCCAGTCTTCGCCACTGGTTTGCTTCCTGCTCCCTCCCCCTCTCCCCCCACCTATCTTTTAACCTTTTCCATCCCTCACGCCGTAGGGGCTGTGTGAGAGAGAAGGAGCCTGGAAATGAAAGGGGATGGCTTGCAGCCACCAAGCAAACAGCTGCAGCAGCTGGAAGGCCTCTCCGGCCACCGCGCTGCCCGCAGCCTGGCGGTGTTGCTGGTGGGCAGGATGGGCTTGGGGTGCAGGATGGGCACGTGCTGGCTCCCCGGTGGCACCCTGGTGGCTCCCCAGTGGCACTCAAAAAAGGTGAAGCCACTTCCTTCCACGGCTGCAGCCTGCTGCAGAGGGGCAGTACCGAGGGAGCTGGAGGCAATGACATTTCAAGCACTGCCGATGTTTTCTCGGTGCATATGAGTCAGTCTTTAATTTCCAAGCTCTGTTATCTGGGTGGCTCTTCTGTAATCTCTCCATTTTGTCCTTCCTGTAGATGAGGAGTAAATCGGGAGCTTTATGTTCCACATCTCAGGTGTCACTAACGCTGAACAAAAAGGAGGTAGTTGCTTCCCCGCCTCCCAATGTGCTGCTGTAACGTCTGAAGCCTATTACTGCTTTTTGTCATTGAAGTGAATAGTCCGTACGCAAGAGTTTCAGGCTCAGTGTTGCATTATTTATATCCACAGAGTCTTACTGGTGATGCTGCTCTTCTTTGAAAGAACTTTCAAAAGTATGAGGAAAGACAGACATACCGCATCTCAGGTTTTGCAGGAATAAAACCAGCTTGTGTGAAGCACAAGCGCCGGATTCTGATGATTCATAACCAACCGAGAGGAGTTCTTGGCAAAACTCCCTTTTGAGAAGAAAGTTAAGTCGTATTTCGGCTTTTAAGCAAATTATCTCGAATTCCATAGTTAAAATTGCTTAGCGTGTCTTGGATATTTGCCGTCCCTGGGACTGTTTGACTGCAGATAGAGCTCGGTGAATGAGGTGCCCGGTGAGTGTGCAAGGGCACGTGACAAAAACCATACCTAGAGACTGGCAAGATGTTGTCCAACCCAACCACTTACCCAAACACCTCTCGCATACAGGGTCAGCTTTGGGGCAGCCACGTGTCTTAAGATGGCACATTTTGAATGATGTCATTTCCAGGATGACATTTACAAGATGTCATTTATAAAAATATGGCCTGTGAATTAAGCCATCGCCATTACCACTGGGAGTGATGATATTTACTGTTAAAAACACAACTTCTAGCCAAGGGTTTTCCAAGATTACACCTCTTCCAGGTACTGCCCAGAAAGGATTCACGCTTGAGCCAGCAGAAGAGATAAAGTTAGATTGTCTGTATTACCATATTTTTTCAAATACAAACTTTCTGAGCCCATTACTGCTGCTGTGGAATTTTGACAGTCCAGAAAACTGGAGTTGCAGGGATTCTTTTTTTTTTTTTTGATGTTTCAGAAGGCAACAGACAAAAAGAGAAAATTACCCCAGTTCTTGGGTTGTGTTTTAATGGCTTGTGAAGGTCTCAGTGTTCTTGAGAAAAATAAACTCATTTCATCTTCTTTTGTCACCTCGCAGTCCTCCTTCTGGTATCTGTGGCCAGTTGTAATCTTTCCGATATTCTGCAAGGAGCACACAACGAATAAATTACGGATAATGGGTTTTACAAGACATGTCATGGGATGTTTAAAGAGAAAGCCAGGCTCCTAGGCCAGAGCAGTGCTTTTTCTACTAAACGGAGGGGCTGGATCAGCTACCAAGCATGGACCTTTGAGGCTCCTTTGGAAGGGTCATTAGCTCTTTCCTGTTTTTTTCTCATGGTGATTCTGGCTTCAAGGAGGAGTGTTTGCCCATCCGAGTAGAAACCTTTGAAGTAAGAGCAAAATCCTTATTTCTTCTTGTCGATTTACTACGTGTGTGTTTGGAGAGAGAGTTTTTGATGGCAGGTCTCTGGAGGCTTTCTTTTTGGGAGGTTTAAGGCTGGGCAGAGTAGTAGGCGCAGTGACTGGAAGGGCTTGGGATTGCTGCAGTCACTCTTCAGATGATTATTTACTGCCTTTCAATGTGAATTAAGAGTAAAGCTCAGTCGAGGAACTTTTGCCAGCATAGCGTTTTTATTTGCATGTCTTTCATGACATTTCTTGAATGAAAAGGCCTTAAAAGTAAAAAATACTACCATGCTGCTTCCAGTAGCTCAGCATCAACATATGGTGAATTTTTATTAGTCGAAGCAATTAGGTTTTTGGTTTTTTTTGATTCCTGCAGCATTGGTGGCACCTACTACAGCTGAGGTGGCGACTTGCTTAGCTTGGCTATCCCGGTGTGGAAGCTCCCTTTGGGAGCAAAGCTCCCGCACTTGCAGGGAGCAGCTCAGCGTGGCTGCAAAGCTCCCGCCGGCCGGGACGGATCGTCCTCTGGCAGCGCCGGGCTCCCCTGTAGAGGCCAAGCAACGAGCCCGGAGCCGACACTCGACTCGTAGGGAATAAAGCTGGTTGATGTGCAGCCTGCCCTTAGGGACTGTACATTTTATTTAGGCTCTGCGATTTGTCACATCCGTGAACTTGGAATTTAAAATAGGCGGTTTGGGGGTGAAATTCATGTGACCACCTGTACTCCACTGACTGTGGAGGGTGCCCAGAGTGATTAGCAATGGCAAAAGGTTTGCTCTGTACCAAGGCAAAGTTATCTTTGCAGAAAATTCGCGACTTGCACAGCGGGTTTTTTTCAGGTACCACACTTCGATCACCCTTTCTCTCAGAATCTGCAAGCGCTTCACAAACTGAGTGTTATCGTTGCTATTATCATCTTAATTCTACAGGTGGAGGTGCTAAGGATGAGGTGGTTATCCTTTGCCAAAGATTTGCGATGAGTTCATGCTGTGACAGTGAAAGTTTCGGTCCCCGGGCCCATCGCTCTCTCTTCACCCTCCTCGTGTTTTGGCGCTGACATCAGGTTTTCTCATGCTTGGAAATGCAATGCATTATTTCGCCCAACGATTTTTTTTTGTTTCAGGGGTTTGTTTTAGTGTTTTTTTAGTAAATCACTTAACCTAGCAAGAACCCAAGGCAGATTCAAAGATGTGCCTGCTGCCATGCTGCGTCGGGAGCAACTCGTCTGCCCGAAACCTGGAATCTGCTGAAGCGATTGCCGGAGCTTCAGCTGGCGCTGCTTGCACGAGGTTTTGCTGCATCTTCATTCAATTGATTTTTTTGTAGAATCAGAATTTTGGTTAAAAGAAAAAAAGAAAAGGTGGTTTGCACTGCAAAGATTCCTTGTGAATAAACCAGTGAGGCGTTTGCCTGCCGGTCCAGCCTTGCAGCATTTTGGCTACCGAGGGGCAGAACGGCAAAGCCGGAGCTGCACATCAGTGAGCTGTAAAGCCTGCTCTCCAGCACGCTGTTTACCTCGCAGGAGTGCTAATTTCAGCACCTGCTTTTGAAACACTCGATGGGGAATTTTTAAAGCACAGCAATGTCAAGGCAGTTCTGAAAATCCTCCTGGGGGGGGGGGAACCATGATGCAAAACGGCGCCCGAAGGGAAAGCTGCTCTGCTTGAATCTCAGATGAACCTTTACACGGGTTTTTAAATGCCAGGGGATACAGATCTCGATACAGAGGTTGTCAGGTCTGTTAAGGAATTGTTTATTTTAGGAACTCACAGTCACAAGAAGCTTCAGGATTCAGCGGGCTCGGTCCTTGCCACCTCAGCAGTCGCCGTCTCCTGTGGCTTTATCCTTTTATAAAAAGATCATGCTTCTCTTCCAAAATAGGTAGGCTGTTTTATCCCCACAGCCCCTGGGAAGACTGTTCCAGAATGTCACTGCTAAAACCACCCTCTGCTTGCCAGTATGCATTTTGTTATCTATCAGCAGCCTAAATTAATTTCTATTTTTTTATTGTGCCGACATTTTAATACCCGAGTGGTCGCTCCCCTGGTATCTGTAGTGGAAATCTCCGCCGACGAGGAGTTGAAAGGGACCCAGCTCGCATCCCATCCCCGTTCTCATGCCAGGCTGCACCAGCCCCCATCTGCTACCATCACCACGCTGCTTAGTTGCTCCTTCAGTAGAAAAGAGCGGGATGTGCCCTCCTGTAAGCCTCGAGCGTCGCCTTTAGCCTTCGCACCTGAAATTTGGGCAGTTTGGACCCTTGAGGAAATACTAAGAGCACATGTAAACTTCAAGACGAAATTACATTTCCAAGAAAGTATTTATAGGGGAAAAAAATGCTCATTTGCAAAGCCCTCTTCTGCGTGGTGGGGATGTGGTATAAACCAGAAGTATTGGGTCCTGTAAACTTAATTTGAAACAGGCAGATGTCGTAACTCAACAAGTGAACTCTCCTCCTGCCCCTGCAAGAGCTGGGGATGCTCCAGCTTCTTTGGTTGCACGAGAGCAGTTTTGATGGTTTTGAGGTAGCCCTGAGAATTTTAAAACAGGCCCAAATTAATCTGGCACCTGAGCGTTCACCACGTACCCCAGGGTGAATCGTCGCTTGGCAATCCTGCAGAGAATTCATTCACAAAACGGGAATTGAGAGAGCTGTGGCGCAGGAGCTTGTTTGCGAACAACATCCTGTTGCCTCAGCACCACGCTGGAGTTGTGGTGCGGCCGAGAGTGGTCGGGCGCCGGAAAATGCTGGTCTTTCAGTTGATTTGCATTGCTGATGAGGAAATACGTCGCTGTAGCAGACTTGTCTGATCTGCCTTTGGTGTTATTCTTGGTGTTTCTAAGCAAGACATCTATCAGAGGAGAGATTACCTGGTGTCTAGATAATAGCTGCTTGACACAAGATATACATTACTCTTTCTTCCTATGATACATGAGCTTAGGGATTTGTTTTCGTCTGTTTCTGTTGTTCAGAATAAGTTTTAACAATACATCCTCTGCACATCCTCTTTACCAAAAAAACTTAACATATTCAAATACCTGGAATCTATATCTATATCTGTCTCAGACTGGATATAAGGAAGAAATTCTTTACAACAAGGGTGGTGAAACACTGGAACGGGTTGCCCAGAGAGGCGGTGGAGGCCCCATCCCTGGAAACATTCAAGGCCAGGTTGGACAGGGCTCTGAGCAACCTGATCTGGTTACGGGTGTCCCTGCTCACTGCAGGGGGGTTGGGCTAGATGGCCTCTAGGGGTCCCTTCCAACCCAAAACATTCTATGATTCTATGATTTTATGAATACAGATATTAGTAGAATAGAGTACCGGGATAACTCTATCCCTCTGTTCCATCCACTTAGCGACAGCACGGACACAGGATATTTTGTATTTTTGAGTAAGAGGCAACATGGAGAACATACAGAAGATCAACACCGAATATCAAAATGGGACTTGGACAAGCAAATAATTTTTATTCCTTAATTTGTAGCTGGTTAATATTTTTTCCTGAAACAAGTAGGATTCGTTTGCTCACTAGTTTTTAAATGCAAGTACTGTCTTCGGCAGTTGGTTGTGGGACCGAGTAAATTTGTATGGTCAGGGAAGTTGATCTCATTAAGGCGTATAAGGTTACTGCTGTTCCGCAGCGCATTTATAACCTGAGGTCCTTCTAACAATACAAAATTGGTTGGTAAAGACTGTCCCTCTTGTCCAGGTTTCACTGGTTTCTTCTGGTGACATTGCATCTGCTTGGTGGTTTACATCTTGGGGTTTTTTTTCTTGTGTTTTATTCAGGTTGCTGACACTGTGGCTGCAGTTTACTCACGAGATACCAACCAAACACTAATTGGAGAAACACTTGGATACGTACAGTTCCTCACCCAGGATGCCTTTCAAAGCTGGATTAGAACTGACTGAACTGCAGAATATGACTGTCCCTGAAGATGATAACATCAGCAATGATTCAAATGATTTCACAGAGGTGGAAAATGGCCAGATAAATAGGTGAGTATTTTTCCACTGACGCTGCCTGTGCTAAGAAACACACTGTTTAAAAACAGCATTCTAATTTTCAGTATATGTCTTGAATTATTCATTACCAAGTCATACTCCATTTGAAGATGTAATTTGAATTTCATATGTGACATCTGTTGGGCATAGGCTGCAACAGCAGATAAAGCAAACAGTGGCAATTTATTCATCGTTTTGAATCTTTCAAATTAGTCTAATAAAATGCACAAACATATAATGTCGCAAAAAGCCAACATTTCGAAATGTCTGCTTGCACACAGCAAAGAAGTAATAGTAATTAATACAATTAGACCAACGGCATCATTTGGGGCAAATCGCTTCGTTGACCTTTGGTGTGACAGTTTTAACCTGCCTGGCCACCTCTGTGCACCCAAGCTCCTGGGGATTTATTTACAGATGGTGGTGTTGGCAGCAAATGTGGTCCCGGTCCACGTTTGCAGTTCGGCGGGGTAAACTGGGCAGTGGCTCTCACTCCCTGAAGCAAGGATGGCAAGAAGCTGGTAAAGCAGAGACCTATACCTCGCTCCCGTCAAGTTTAAAAAAAATGCATCTATTTATCAATATTGGTGAAAATCACTACGTTCGTTTAAATTAGGCTGTGGGCTTTTCCTGTAAGCTGCGCCGTCACTTCGAAGAGCTGTGACGGTTCCTCCTGCCCTTGCTGCCAGCCTCCAACAGGCGCTGAGCCGTCCTGCTTGCAGCAGAGACCTGCCTGCTGAGGGACCCTTGGGGGGGGTTGTCAGCTGTAAATCAAGGAGCTGGTTTTCGATCAACCTTCCTGTTCGAATATCGCAAGGCAGAGCGTGCCGGCCGGCCGGTGCCTGTGAGGGGATCCAGCCCTGCCCGGCACTGGTGGGGCTGGGAAGCTTCTGCCGGGACGTCATCCCGCTCCGTTACTGCTGGGCTGCCGCCGCCTGTGTTTACAGTCTTTAAAAACCTCTTCTCTTGCCCTTTCTTCCTTTTGGCAGCAGCTTCTCTGGCTGCCCAGAGAAACTCACTTTCTAGCGTAAAAACAAAATGAAGAGCTGTTTTTTCCCGAGTTGAGGGCAGAGGCGTGCGGCTCTCGTGGCCGTGCGGGGGGGCGGGGAGCCTGGTGGAGGGTGCGGGAATAAGTGCCTGGCGTTGGCCATACCATGCAGGAAGCAAAACTGGCTGGCCATGCCCCCAGAGCTAGCCACGGGCCCCGGGTGGGAGGGGGGACAGCTGCACTGGTGAAGATTAGAGCTGGCCAGGAATTTTCTGATGCAACTGCTTTGATGGAAAGTGCCGTAACGAAACGCAAACCACTTCTGTAAAAAAAAAAAAAAAAAAAAAAAACAAAAAAAAAAACAAGAGCAAGAAAAAAACCCCCTCCAACTTTGCCAAAACAAACCAGTTCCAGTATGAACCTGCTTGCTTTCTTGCTGGCTCACTTCGTAAGGCGAGGAGCTCAGGGGCTGACAGTGGTAAATTCACTCCCTGGAGCCTGCCGAGGATTTATATCCTGGAGAGGAGAAGGGCTGTACCGGGCTGGCTGCGCCTCCCCAGCGTTTTGGCTGGTGCCACCAGTAACTGTTACAGGGAAAACCCTGTTAAGGGCTTCATCTTTTGGTGAATGTTTATGGAGGGTGGGGAAGGAGCGTGTGCCGTATGTGCCTGATCCTCAGCGGTCACCACGTGCTTTGTGGGCTTAGGGCGTAGTAAACGTGGCAAGGTCTGGGTCGGATCCAGATGGCCTGCAAAGGGAAGAAGAGCAGTGAGGTGAGGAAAGTGTGTCAGAAACTCAGAGACAGAACTTCTGATTACTGTTCTGGCTTCTAGGGCAGATGAACATATTCTACCATTTTCCATTCCCTTCTGGATAACTTTTTTCCTCCGCAGAGCATCACTTGCTTGTAGCATGCAGCCTGTTACGCTTATCTGATCCCTCCGCTGGGGTGCTCGTGGGATAGCTACCTACTCATGCATCCCACACACAAGTATTTTTCCCTGTATATCCTGGTGTGTTCGTGTTCCCCTCCATGTCTTAAACAAGAGTTTCAAGGCAGCTCGTGCTGGCCGCAGCCTCCGGCGCAGCAGCACGTTGGCACTGGCACAGCCCCGTCAGCGTCCCCTGGGGCTGGGGCTGAGCCACCTGTGGCCACTGCCCTGCGCGAGCACCTCCACGCCGACACGGGTGATGAGCCGGCGGGCAGACCCTGCTTTCTATCCCGTGCCAGATGCGTCCTGAAAGGATGTGGTTCTTCCCTTTCTACAACTATTTTAGCAAATGCCCTGTCTCCATGGAATAAGAGGTTAACGGACGTGCAGAAGGAAGACTTTTGTGCTGCGTGGCACGTGGTGCAAGGCCTTGTGAAACTGCAAAATCCATCAAAATCAGTGGGACTTTTTCTGTTTATTTCACTTGAGCTTTAGATTAGATCTGTAATTTTCAACTAACTTTTTTTTTTCTTGTTTCAACCTGGTGGTTTTGCACTCTATGTTTAATTTCAAGCTTTTGTTTTTCCTCCCAATGCATCATTTTTCAAGCTCAGTGTAGAGCAGGGTTTTTAAGGGTCTTTTGGAGAAGGTACACTAAGGAGAAGCTGATTCCAAGTCTGGTTGTAAACTCCAAATATTTCTTGATCTTGGAAAAGAATTCTCTAGTTTCCTTTGGATTTCCAGCCTTTTCTGGGCTGTATGTAGGGAGGGGATGTTGTTCAGAAGGGGCTGTATCAGGAGGGGTTTTTCTTTGCATGCAGATGTTGAATTTCTTCTGGGAATGTCGATGAAGAGACTTGCCTCAAATCCAGACATGGACCTTGCATCTTTTAACCACATATCCCGGCTATAAAACTTTGCCATCTCTGCACATAACTGTAAACCAGTATTTAGGTGACCTACTGCATACCTATAACTACGACAGTGCTCTCAGGAAGCTGCTGGCTGAACGTCTATCTTGGTTTACAACTGCTAGTAAGTTATCAGCACCCCTTCGTATGTTAACACGGTTGTTAGTAGGTACACCCAGATCTGGTCCAAACCGTGTAGTGTAAGCCAGACCAAGGTTTCTTCTGCATTTCTTGTTCCCGCCTGCCCTGGAAATCTTTGCCGTTGCTCAAGGTAGAGCTCAGTTTAAGAGCTGCCTAAGGATAAAGTTCTGTCATCTTGGCAAAACTAGCTTTCCCTAAGAAATGTTTAAGGCATTGTCAATTATCACTTTAATTTAATTATGTTTAAACATATCTGAGATGTCTAAATGGTTTTTGGCTAACTCTGCTTAGCCAAAATGGTTAGCCTGGGGATATCACCCTAATCAAACATTTCTCATTTAAGTCCTTTAAAAAATTAAATTTTGAAACCAGTTAGACATGGTCCTTTTAAATCTGCTTTGTCAATAAGACTAAGTTTCTACTTTGCACTGAATCAAACTAGAAAAAGAATGAGATGACAAGAGTAAATGGCCTCAAGTTGCGCCAGAGCAGGTTTAGGTTGGACACTAGGAAAAATTTTTTCACTGAAAGGGTTGTCAGGCATTGGAATGGGCTGCCCAGGGGAGTGGTCGAGCCCCCATCCCTGGAGGTATTTAAAAGATGGGTAGACGCGGTGCTTAGGGGCATGGTTTAGTGGTGGGATGGCAGGGTTAGGTTAATGACTTGATGATTTTAAAGGTCTTTTCCAACCTGAACGATTCTATAATTCTATGAAGAAGTTCTTTCCAAGCCAACCGTGAGGCTTCGTGCATCGCAAGGATCAGCTGATTATTTTTTGGCCAGGATATTTTATTAACGTATCTGAAAAGTTTTGTATGAGCTGTGATGTAGGAAGCACAACAGGAAAGCAGAAACTTGTAAGAACAGGTTACGTCTTTTAATGACGAGTAAAGCGTTTGAGGTGAAGATGACAAACAGCACGAACAGATTTCGCGCTTGTCAGGGAGTCGCAGGGCTTTGGCGGCACAGTCGGTCCTACTGCGCTCGTCCACAGCGCCTCTCCCAGTGGCCTCCAGCCCTTGGGAGGGCTGGGAGAGGCTGGAGTAAACAGTCGTTTCACTTCATTCGTGTCATATTTAGAAAGGTCAAATATACGGCATTCTCTGACAATGAATAGCTCATGTTCTAAGCACAGCTATTAAGCAGAGCAGATGGACGTTACGGTTTAACTAGAAATTCCAGTATTCCGAGATATGTCCCCTTTCGTATGCACTAGGGGAAAAAAAACCACCCTGAAATGAAAAAATGTTTATAAAAAGAAAAATCTTGGGGAAATTTGTTTCTGTTGAAGCCATTGCATTACCTTCCCCCTACTTTTATTTATTTATTTATTTGAGTTCAGTAATACATTCCATTTATGGAAGACTTAGGCTGTCATACTGTACGTCCGTACCACCTACCGAGTGTGGTCCCGAGGCAACCTTCTTGTCTGGACTTGCAGGTTAAGTTGCCTGCAATAGCAAATGCGGGACAGCCTCCGGATCAAGCGGAGCCCACGTCCCCCACCACTGCATCGCTCCTGAGCTTTCTGGGCAAGCCATCCTGGGCGTGGGAGGCAGGTGCTGGGAAAAGCCCCCCGTAAAAAAGCTGGGTGCAGTGCTGTGTACCTTGTAGAAGGTGTGATTTGGGAGCCCTGTGGCCATATCACATGGCATAAATGAAGAAAAATGTGCAGTGTGATGTGGTAAATGTGGGGTGGATGAGGAGCCCAGCTTATAATAGGAGATGGGAGGCTGAACAACAAGCCCAGTCCATTTCAACGTAGGGCTAACTCAAAAGAAAGTACTTTGGCTCAATTTATCAAATCAGACTAGTTTTCTTTAAAGTCCCATCCAGAAGGAAATAGCGTGTTTGCTGGCCACAGAAGATACCAGTTCTGCAGAAGCTATTTGCCAAAAGAATTGTCACAGAAAGTCCCAGAGTTGCTTTATATTCAAGCAATACTACTCACGTGTTGTCTTTATCATGTGTTAGTTCTTTAACAGTAATTTTCATGGAACTTTAATACCAGGTGGCAGTAATGATGGTACCTACAAATGTGTTATTTTTGTAATTATTAAGGGGGAACTGGCTGCAGAGGGATGAGGAGAAGTGGGGGGAGCAGACTAGTTACTTCTGTCATAACTCTGACAAAATCTAAAATGACACATGATCCCCGCAAATGACAGAAGAAAGCAAAGTCCACAGATGTTCCCAGCAGCACTTACAAATCCAAAAGAGACAAAACTCTTTCTCTGTGCTCCTGCCTGTACAAACTGCCTGCGGGGTGTTTCGAGAGAGCTGGAATGTCTTTTTCAAACCGTTCACACTCTGCTGCCTGCGTTCAAGAGATGGGCTTTAAACAGACATGGGAAAGAAAAAAAAGCGCATGCTCTGAATCAGGTTGAGATTTTATTCAGTGAGGATGAAATACCTACACAGTGAGCTTTGGAAAGTTAATTTTGGATCAGTTTATCTTAGAAGTGGTTGCTTTTCACTTCTTAAAACAGTGGGGGAGGTTCAGCCATCTATTCCAACTGTGTAAAGCCTGGTAAACCTGGCACGGTGTCTGTATTTTGCAGCAAATTAGCTGCTGAAGTTAGTAGTTTAAAAAGTATAGGACAAGCCTATAGCTGGTTTTTATTGATATAAAGGCAGTCAAAGCGGAGCAGTGGGTAGGAGTCAAAGTAGCAATAAAAGCAGCAAAGATGCTGCATACATTTTGCCAGCTATGCCCGGATTTAAGGGATAAGCTCAAAACATCTACGTAGTATGCAAAATGTTAAAGACACAGGGCCCCGTGTGTCAGCTGTATAAGTCAAGGCAGCAGCATTACAGCTCCGTGATTTCGGCAGGCGCTTAGAAGCTGCGCCAGAGTATATTGCTAGTAATTAGGCCACAGCCGGCATAGTAGGGAACTTCGATAGAGCTCTGCCTTTATGAATTCGTGGTTATATTACCAGCCGGAGTACCTTCAGATGTACCCAAATGATGCACAGCCTTGAGTCACGGTGTGAACTGTACATCCCCAGCCAGCAGACGATCCCAGCTGTGGGAAAGGACCAGCGGCACTACTCTTTATGTTCAGCGTATTGTTGGTCTGGTTTAATTTAAGAAGAGCCGCCCTAATTTTCCTACAGCAAAAAGGGTCCCTGACACTTGGTGGCAGCCCCTGGTTAGGCACGTAACACGTGCGGTGGCTGATGCATTAGCCAGTGCAGCCTAAGAACCGTCTGTGGATTAACAAACATGCCAGGGACTTAATTGGGCATAAACCTTCAAAAGATGAAAAGCCAAAAGAATGCTCTATACAAACGAAAATGTTTGCTGAGGAGAGGATCTGGGAGAAAATAACAGCTCATCCAAATCAGAAATTTCATAAATCCCAAGGATACCGACACAGCCGCAGGAGGCAAATCTTGTTCTGATGACGGTACGTTCCTAAATGTGGGTATATCAAGGACACAGAACAAGTAAAGGGTGCAGAGAAAGGAAAGCTGTTTATTCTGTGTTTCCCTGCACAGAAGTGTTTAATTTTGCAGTATGGTGAATTCAGTACTGAGTTTTGAAAGACACTTAAGTGAAAATCCGGTAGCCCAGAAGGGTGCACCAACAGAGCATGTCGCCCGGCAGGATGGTCCGGGCAGCGCTGGCTGCGGGCAGCACCTTGTCCTCCTCTTAACTCCAGCCACACCGACCTGACAGTGGCAATTTAGGGTTGCGCAGGGTGCCGCAGTGCCACCCAGCACTGAGGGGACAGACAGGGTCTTTAGGGATCCTTGGCAGAATGATGACAGCACTAGATTACAATAAAAGCTTTCTTTTCTTAACAAGGTATTATGATATGACAGAATTTGTTATTAGAATGGCACGGGTTTTCTACAAGCAGAATCAATGTAGTAGAATCTATAAGTAGCATAATACAGAATTTATAATACAACTGTCCTGGTTTTGGCTGGGACAGAGTTAATTTTCTTCCTAGTAGCTGGCAGAGCGCTCTGGTTTGGATTTAGTACCAGAAGAATGTTGATAACTCGCTGATGCTTTAGCTGTTGCTAAGTAGTGCTTAGACTGGCCAAGGACTTTTCAGCTTCCCCTGCTCTGCCAGGGGCACGAGGAGCTGGGAGGGGGCACAGCCAGGACAGCTGACCCCAACTGGCCACAGGGCTACTGCAGACCATATGATGTCATGGCCAGTATATGAACTGGGTGTGGAGTTGGCTGGGGGGCAGCGATTGCTGCTCGGGGTGGGCTGGGCATCGATCGATGGGTGATGAGCAATTGCACTGTGCATCACTTGTTGTTGCTGTTGATTATTATTGTTGTTGTTATTATTATCATCATCGTCATCATCACCACCATCCTATGCTATTTTATGAAACTGTCTTTATCTCAGCCAATGGGTTTTACTTTTTTTCTGATTCTCTCCCCCATCCTCCTGGGGGTGTGTGGTGGTCAGCTGCCTGCCAGGTTAAACCACCACAACAACTTAACTTATAATTTCTAATGGAGCCTCTGCAGATCAGGTCAAATCTTAATACATGGTTTGTTGTATAACAATCATAATCTAGACTCAAAAATCATATAAAATAAGATGAGTCACTCCCCCAGTCCTTGGAGGATGCAGAGGATGTCCCTGGGGGTGTCCCTGGCTACCAGGGGTCCCAGGTCTCACTGTCCAGCAGTAGCTCTGGTCCAAGTTCCCCGCTTAGGACTTGTAACTGCTTGATTTTATGGACGGTGCTCTGGGTGCTGTTGGGTTTCACTGCTCCATGGTGGGGTCATCACCACCACCTGGTGGGCCAAGTGCCTGGGACCTTCAGGGCTGGCAAGGAAGGGCGTAATCAGCTTGGCGCCCAGGAGTCTTGAGGCCGATAGGGAGGGAAAGGAGAAATCTGTTTGGTTTGTCTACTTGGTTCACAGGACCTTCAGGGCCTGATAATGAGGGAAAGGGAATGAATACATGCCCCGCTCAGTCCCAGAGAATGGCTGCTTGCCTCAGAAAATGGTGTTAGTTATACAAACCACATTAGCAGGGGTCAGGAGCAGGGGGTACCGGTCACATGCACCTCTGCAGGACACCTGGAGAAGTATCTCACAGAATCACAGAATGGCAGGGCTTGGAAGGGACCTCCAGAGATCATCCAGTCCAACCCCCCTGCTAAACTCTAGAGCATGTTGCACAGGACATCATCCCTGTGGGTTTTGAATATCTCCAAAGAAGGAGACTCCACAACCCCCCTGGGCAGCCTGTTCCAGTGCTCCGTCATCCTCAAAGTAAAGAAGTTCTTCCGCATATTCAACTGAAACCTCTTATGCTTCAGTTTGTGCCCATTGCCCCATGTTGGGCACCACTGAGAGGGGTTTGGCTCCGTCCTCATGACATGCACCCTTAAGGTATTTGCAAGCATAATCTCCTCTTAGTGTCTGTGCAAACAAATTACTTGCCCATCCACAAAATTGGTGCTGCTTCTTTACTGAATCTCCTAACAGACCATTCTGTATCTATACATTTATTCTGATCTTGTGCTAGTGTTACCTTTTTCGATGCCCAATGTACGCTGGTATCAGTGAAGCATCATCCGTCTCATTAAACAGTGATGAGTTTGACCTCTTTTTGCATACAGTTTTCAGACATTGTGTATTTTGTAATCACATGCTGCTCATGGAATTAATACGTTTGTATTTTCTAAACACTGGAAATAAATCCTCTGACTTCTTTCAGCAAGTTTATTTCGGATCGAGAAAGCAGAAGAAGTCTCACAAACAGCCACTTGGAGAAGAAGAAGTGCGATGAATATGTAAGTCTCTCTTGCTGTTCTTTTTCCTGTCTAAATGAACTGTATGTTGTGCATATGAAGGGCCTTTAGACACGGTCTAAACATGTGCTGGGCACACATGATTATACCTGAAATTTGGGTTCCAGTAGGAACTGCCTGTGCTCAGCACTCTAAAAAAAACCCAAAGCAAAATACTCATGTGTTTTGGTTGAGTTGAGGCAAGGGAATCCCTCTGGCCTGTATTAGGCAGGAAGTCCTGATGGTTCTTATGGCCTTACAATATATAAATAAGGTGTTTCACAGGCGTAGTGAAAGACGAGGTTGAAAATTGAAAGTGTAGCTGTGCATTGCCTATACCATGTACGTCAGTGTACAAAATCTATAGGACAGCGATCGGAGTGTAGCTGTGACAGGGTTCAGCGACGCTTTTTCCTCTTTCAAACCAGTTTTTCTTAAGCATTTCTGTAGCAGTAGTTACTTACATCTGATATATCACAAAACGCGGAATTTGAAGCAAAGGTGCATTTCCCCGCTCCGCTCCAAGCCGTTGCTGACACATCTGGCTTTACTTCTCCAGATCCCAGGAACTACGTCACTGGGGATGTCCGTCTTCAACCTCAGCAATGCCATTATGGGCAGTGGGATTTTGGGTCTCGCTTTTGCCTTGGCCAACACGGGAATTCTTCTTTTTCTGTAAGTATTTGCGTGGTGAGTAGCTGAGCCCTGTGCAGTTTCACTGTGTTTAAGGAATGTGTGCACTGCCAGCAAGTGGAGGGATTTGTAGTCCATCCCTAATCAAGTATAGCATTCGAGCCTGAAAATGTTAGCTACAAGTTTTGGACATTCTTTTTACAATAATTTTTTTTTTTGGGCAGGGGGGGAAAGCCACTACTTCTAATGCTAGAGCAAATTAAGTCTGTGTTATTTACTGCTGACCTGAGCCTAGCCAGGGATTTTTCCTGTGGTCCACAAGCTACACATACATCAGAAATATTCAGTAGTAAGAGTTGCAGTGGGATAGTACCTAGTTCTTACTGGTGTCACAGGATTTCCAGAGCTTTCATCAAATCATGGTGCAACAGCTACTTTTTTTTTTTTTAAACTAAGAAAAAGAATATTTATATTCCTTTATATGTTACATATAATATTTTCATCTCACTCCCACAGTTTCTTCAGTTTCTTATGTGAGAGTCCTTGAGAGCCAACATAAGTATAGCCAAGATTTTAGTATAAAAAAAAGAGTTGAGGTAGAGTACTTAACTCCAGCAAAAAAGAGGCGTTTTGTAAAGGACAATTTTATAGTTTAAAAATGAAATGGTGCCAGTGAATGAGTAAGACACAGTGTTATTCTGTGTTATTCTGGATCGCAGTATGAGACCTTTCATTGTGAAAAGTGATTGTTAAGAAATCAGTTGGGAATTGTGTGCAGATTTTGGCAATAAATGTTCATTGAGGGAAGAAATACAATAATTTATGATCTTTGAGAACTGTTCAACATGGTTATTAGGTCTACAGATCACTTCAAAGAGGTGTCATTTCTTGAATGTTAAATCTAAAAATCTAGAACTTTTGTTATGTCTTAGGTTTTGGGGAAGTATATAACATGAGCCCTGTATGTATAGCAGAGTAGATGGCCAAAGTGGCACATATAGCCATCTGCTCTGGGTCTTGTGCCAGGATAACTACATCCATGCTGCTAGCTTACAGTCTGCTGTGGTTGGGTAAAATCTAGCAATAATCCAAGGAGTGAATTCATTTACATTAGGAATGTACAAAGTCTCATAATTGTGTTGTCACTACGCTAGGCTATAAAGTAGCTGGATTCTAATTTAGGTCTTTCTTATGCAGAGGGACTGAGTTTATTTTATTTTTGCTGGTTTTTTTACCCAGTACCCTAACCTGTATGTGATGCTCCACCTGTGCTCTGACCAACACACCCCTGGGGGCACAGACTGGTGTTTGCAAAAACTGCTGTAATCACAAAAAAAAAGTTACCTCTCCTCAACCTTGTCACCTCTTCTGTGGTAATAGTGTCTCAGCCAAGGAGCACCCTCAGTTCCTCCTTAGTTTCTTCTTACTGCTTTAGTTTTCTATAACCTCATCCTCTTCTCATTCTTTCAGCAGTTATTCATGAGAGTTAAATGAAATGTGAAATGCATTTGCTCTAAAGGAGGTAAAAAGGCAGTTTCTTGTAGGTGAAGTAGATCAGACCAGTGATGGGAACATCAGAGAAACTTGTAACAGTGCGTGACCGTGGCTGGGCTCATCTTGGCCCAAGTAGTGAGTGTGTAAATCTGTACCACCACATTGTACCAAAACCCACCAAACCTGAATGCAGAGATTTTATACAGTAAATAACAGCATTGTTCTCTACAGAATTGACTGTGTGTATTTAAAAGCGGGTAATTGTTTTTGTTAGCTTTATAATGCCTTCAGATCTGTTGGCCTGGAGATAGACCAGCTCGCTGAGATCAAGGATAAGGAAGCTGGCAGGACCTAACTGACCAGGTTAGCAGAGCTTTCCCCTTTGAAGCCTGCAGATACAGGATCCTAACGTGGTGTCTCTAGTTATGCCTGAAAGTTGAACTGCTCTAAATGTTCTTTTATCATGCAATAATCTCAGAGTTAAACCTAGTCCATTAGTGTTAGATTTTTTCTCACATTCTCATTCACTGCATTGTTCCCATAAATATCACAGGTAGATCTTAGAACCATTTCTGCTTTACAAGTGATTAAAGATAGAGTCCTAGGTATACTTTCATTGCTTTTTGCACATGAGAAAGCACTTAAATTCATTGCTTTGGAGTGGCACAGTTCTGAAAAGTTTCTAGGTTGCTTTATCCAGTATTGGCATGCGCCATCTCTGAAAAGTAGAAAGCAGAGGTGGAAAAATTAAAGGAGCATTTTCAGCACTAACAAAGCAGACCCAGCCTGATTTCCACTCACACCTTTTACGCTCCTGCAGTGTGAAGTGTGCACCGCCACACACACCTGGATCTGTTCAGATCCTATATTCATGGCATGAGACATGCAAAATAAACATGGCCGTGAGTATGTACTTTCATATCCTATTTGCATAACTTAGTGCCATGGCAAAGTGTCATGCTTTTTAGGCAAAACAACTGGGGAAGGAACTCAGAGGAACTTAATCCCAGTATTATTGATAACTAGAGCCTAGACCAAAGGAGAGCATCCTTTCCTGTATGCAAAAGGGGAGAAAACCTTGCTGCAGAAAGATGGCACAAAGGGTTTGGGAAGTAAGAGGAGGGCCAGGCCACCTAGGGATGGCAGGAGCACTCATCGCTAGCTCACCCTGCTTGTGGTTTCATCCTGGAGACCCAGCATCGGCGTAATGGATCACGTTGCAGAGACATACGAGCCAGCCAAGCGCAAGGTGCCTTCAGCCACATTTAGCCTGGCACTGCACGTGATCTGAAAACCCGCGCTGACGCACAGGGCTTGTTAGATGAAGTATAGCATGAGATTACAACTGAAGTTTCACACTGCTTTCTGCAGCCGCTTCTGCTAGGGTAAACTGGAAGCAGTCACGAAGCCAAAGCCTAAACTCCTCCTGAGGTTTCGTGACTGCTCTGCCATGCTTTTCTGCGCCCGATGCCTTAGGAGGGTTCAGAGCTGTTCTGTGCGATGAGGCGGGTGACTGCATGAGCCTCACGGGTCTTCTGGCCCCAAAGCCTGGGACTCCACAGCAGGCCGGGGACAGCAGACGTTTCGGCTGACCTGGTAATGAGGCAGCTGGGAGCAAACACTGGTGGCATCGCAGGAACAGTTTGTTTTTCCCAGCACTGTATCAGCCCCCTGCCCTAAACTGTTTGTTCTGGATTTGTTTGGGGGAAGTGACTTCTGCATGGGCCGGTTGCTTGCACAGCTGCCAGCACGTCTTTAAAAGCAAGCACAATAAAAAGGAGGGGAGCGCTTTTGGGACTGCAGCGCAGGCTCCCCTGCTTCTGTTTTGAATTTGTGCAGAGCGAGTGACATGGGCATTTTCATTCCTTTCCAAGGGGTGGTTCTGGCGCAAATATCCCTGTCCATACCACACAGTCCTAACACAAACAAGTTTTTCATACAGCGCTAATGAAAATGCCAAGTGTCTCCGTAAGAACCCTATGGGGAGCTAAGGACAACAGATCAGATAAATACCTGGCTGCCTGGGAGTGTTATTTTTACCGCTGCAAAGACTCCATGAGCTCAGTGCCTGAAAACCGGGAGCTTTTAATATTAGAATAGCCTTGATGCTGGCACACAGAGCCGGAGCCATTTGGGGCCGGGAGTGAGTCGGCCCAGCCCCGGGGGCTGCGAGCACCGGGGTGCTCCGGGCAGACAGGGGCGCAGGGGCTCTGCAGGGAACGCCGGCGGGAGCAGGGCTTAGCAAACCTCGTAAGAAATGGAGCAGAGTGACCTCAGCCAGTACAATCTCCCTTCCCTTCTCCACCTCCTGGAGGAGAAACACCCTTCGGGCTGTACAAAGAGTGTGGTGTTACTGTCAGCCAGCTTACAGTGTTGGCAGAAGTGTGGTTCCTCCTAGCACCTCTTTATGTCTCCCTGCTCCTCTGGCCCCAAGAAACTTGTGGGTCATTGTTTGGCACTAAAGTATTTCTAGTCTAAAACAATAAAAAAGCGGATGGAGGAGGTTTTTCATCCTGTTCTTTCTATGTATGCCTATGAAAAAGATGTGTTGCTGCCTATCTATGGCAGCAGCTTGTTTTCTGGTAAATTTTAGGCTTGTTTTTCTCAGTGTCCCAAGGGTAGTTGTCATAACAAAGAGAGGAATTGCCAACAGATTGTCTGAATGCTCTTCACACACATCATGAAAACATCATCAGGTCTTTGTGTGTCAGAGTGTTGGAGGGGAAGGCACACATGGTACTTGGCTTAAAGACCTAGAGCAATGAGCAAATGTGTTTTTATGCACTTAGCCCCCGACACTGACTAATTATTAATTGTGCCAGCCAGT